TTTCAATATTATCAGACCCTTTGGATATAAAGGAATTTACATAAATGAATCATATCGAAAAAATTATGTCAATAGATTAATACGCGCTCATGTGAGTATGTGTATGTGTATTTGATCCAATGGTAAAAAACTCAATGAACCCAGTAACCAAGTAATTTTTGCTAACAAATAAGAAATGCCATCGTTCTAAATCGATTTCAGCTGGATTTAACGCATCATTTTTTTCATTAAAAGTGAATAGTAAATAAATGAATAAAGATATGACTGGTTAATTTACCCTAGCAAGAATGTTCCAAATAACACCTTGTGTGCAGGGAGGTGTGGTGAAAGAGCCAACATATCTGTAATATTTGTGGCATCTTTTTCTAACTTCAGTTGGGTGAAAGGGCCCAAGTGTAATTGGGGTCTCTTCATGTCTCTTCACCTCATATGCAAGCTCATTCAGTTTTTTCTGTATCTGTAAAAACATGAGACCATTCAAAATGTTAAAAAAAACAAGGTCTTTCTTTTCTTTCCCTTTTTTTTTNTAACCATTCTTCATGTCAGTAATAAAATAAAAAAGATAAAAAATGGCACCTTAAGTTCAAAACTAACCTTAGCTAGAAGTGGGTCAGGATGTCCAAATTTAAAAAGAACTGCAACTACTGAGACACTGCCATCTTCAGCAATGTGAACCAAATGAAGCTCTGCGGCAAAACTTCGCAAAAAGAACCCCAAAGTTTAAGTCTAACTTGAAAAAGAAAAAAAGACAAAAAAAACCAAAATTTAGCCTAACTTAAGGATTAATTGCACTTTAGTCTAACCAAAGTGTTTTTGCTTTGATGAATATTTCAGATTATGAGACATGCTCAAAGTTCATGCATATGATGTAAGAGATGGGGCAGGGGTTGAAGTGAAAATAAAGGAAGTCCGGGGGGCAAAGTGCAGTTTTACACTTCAAAGGCATCAACAATTGGAAAAGTTTCATGTTTGTTAAAATACAATACTTGAAGATATAACTTAATGTTGGTCAAAAATGGCTGCGGCCAATAACCAAAGAAGAAAAAAAAAGAAATTGCCCACATTTCTTGTCCAATTGCAGCAGCCCTCGTGGTGAATTTTTTAAAATATGGAGTACACATTTGTGGAAAGAATGGTGCAATTCTCCTCTATAAATAGAGGGGTTCTGATACACATCCAACACCACAACAAAATACCAAACACAAAAGAAAAACATAAGAGAAGAGAAAGAGAGAGCGAGCTAATAAAAATTTAGCTTATGTGTGTATTTGAGTTGTGAGTTGTGAGTGAATTTGAGAGTGTTTTGTAAACACGAGTGTATTTCTTTTTCCCAATAAAATATCTGCAGTAGTCCGGAGACGTAGGCATTATTGGCCGAACTCCGTTATCAATTTGGTGTGTCCAATTTTTATTTTTTATTTCACTTTTATAGATCCGACTTCATGGAAAATTCAGCGTATTTTTCCCAACAACTGGTATCAGAGCCAGATTGTTAATTCTGTATTTTTTTTTGTGTGGTGTTACTATTCCGTTGAAAAACGTGAATAGTACCAATTTTGTCGGCGCTACAAATTTATCTACCGACGTGTTATAAAATACGGTAGTTCACAAAAATTACAGAAACGATCCGGCAGAGAAGTCAGATCAGAGTTGAAGTGATGGCTGCAGACGAAGGAAAAATGAAAATCGAAAAGTTCGACGGTGCGGACTTTGGCTTCTGGAAGATGCAGATCGAGGATTATCTGTACCAGAAGAATATGTATCAACCACTCACAGGAAAGAAGCCAGAGGACATGAAGGAAGAAGAATGGAGTCTCCTCGACAGACAAGCTCTTGGAGCCATCCGACTGACGTTATCCCGTAATGTTGCTTTTAACATTGCAAAAGAAAAGACGACAGCAGGCCTCATGAAGGCTCTTTCCAACATGTACGAGAAACCATCGGCCTCAAATAAAGTTCATTTGATGAGGCGATTGTTCAACCTTCGGATGACCGAAGGTGCTTCGGTGGCACATCATCTCAATGAGCTCAACACCGTCACAACCCAGTTGAGTTCAGTTGAGATCGAGTTCGATGATGAAGTACGGGCTTTAATACTTTTGTCTTCCCTACCAGAAAGTTGGAATGCTACGGTCACAGCTGTGAGTAGCTCATCGGGAAACAATAAGTTGAGATTTGATGATGTTCAAAATTTGGTTCTCAGTGAAGAGATCCGGCGGAGAGAGTCGGGTGAACCATCGACCTCTTCTGTATTGCATACAGAGTCAAGAGGAAGAAGTTCAACCAAAGAAAGCAGACACAACAAATCAAAAGGAAGAAGATCTAAGTCCAGAAATCATCGTAGTTCCCAAACCTCGAAGTCGATCGAGTGCTGGAACTGTGGGAAGACTGGGCACTACAGAAATCAGTGCAAGAGTGCACCGAAGGGTCAGGAGACAAAAGAAGAGGCAAATGTTGCCTCATCCTCAGGAGAAGATATGCTGGTATGTTCTTTGGAGAACAGAGAAGAGTCTTGGGTGTTAGACTCTGGAGCATCCTTTCATGCTACCTCACAGAAGGAACTACTCGAAAATTATGTTCCTGGTAACCTTGGTAAAGTTTACCTTGGTAATGAGCAATCATGTGAGGTTGTAGGGCAAGGTGCAATAAAAATCAAGCTGAGCGGGTCTGTATGGGAATTGAAAAATGTTAGACATATTCCCGACCTGACGAAGAATTTAATCTCCGTGGGCCAACTAGCCAGTGAAGGCTACACGACAATCTTCCATGGTGATGATTAGAAGATTTCAAAGGGTGCGATGACAATTGCTCGAGGCAAAAAGAGTGGTACTCTTTACAAGACCTCAGGAGCATGTCATCTGATTGCAGTTGCAGCAAATGAAAGTCCCAATCTATGGCACCAAAGACTTGGGCATATGAGTGAAAAAGGGATGAAGATCATTCACTCAAAAGGAAAATTACCAGGCCTCCAGTCAATAGAAATTGACATGTGTGAAGGTTGTATACTTGGAAAGCAGAAGAGAGTCAGCTTTCAGACAAGTAGAAGAACTCCAAAGAAGGAGAAGCTTGAGCTCGTCCACTCTGATGTTTGGGGTCCAACCACTGTCCCATCCGTTGGTGGGAAGCAATACTTCGTGACTTTTATCGATGATCACTCCAGAAAGGTATGGGTTTACTTTCTGAAACACAAGTCAGAAGTATTTGAAGCTTTCAAGATTTGGAAAGCTATGGTGGAAAATGAGACAGGCTTGAAGATCAAGAAGCTCAGATCCGACAATGGTGGTGAATATGTAACCACCAGATTCAAGAAGTTTTGCTATGAGCACGGGATCAGAATGGAGAGAACCGTGCCTGGTACGCCTCAACACAATGGTGTAGCTGAGCGTATGAATCGAACGTTGACTGAAAGAGCCAGAAGCTTGCGTGTACAGTCAGGCCTACCAAAGCAGTTCTGGGCAGAAGCAGTCAACACAGCAACTTACTTGATCAACCGAAGTCCATCGGTACCACTGGATCACAAGTTACCAGAAGAGGTATGGAGCGGAAAAGAAGTAAAACTCTCACATCTTAGAGTTTTCGGGTGTGTAGCATATGTGCACATCAGTGATCAAGGTAGAAACAAACTTGATCCAAAATCAAAGAAATGTACTTTCCTTGGTTATGGTGAAGATGAGTTTGGCTACCGCATATGGGATGATGAAAACAAAAAGATGATCCGCAGCAGAGATGTCATCTTTAATGAAAGAGTGATGTACAAGGACCGGCATAATACAGGTGCCAGCAACTCAGAAGCGAGTGGGCCAGTTTATGCTGAGGTGGAAGATATCCCAGACAGTCCTATAATGAGGAGTCCTCAGTCAGAGGAATCAAATGAAGAAAGTGATGTGCAATCAGAACCTCCTACTCCAGCTCCTGTATTGAGAAGGTCATCTCGGCCCCATGTGCCTAACAGGAGATACATGGACTACATGTTGCTGACTGATGGAGGGGAGCCTGAAAATTACATGGAAGCTTGTCAAACCACAGATGCTAGCAAGTGGGAGCTTGCCATGAAGGACGAGATGAAGTCCTTGATCTCAAATCAGACATGGGAACTAGTCAAGTTACCTATGGGAAAGAAAGCACTTCACAACAAATGGGTGTATCGGGTGAAGGAAGACCATGATGGTTCCAGGAGATACAAAGCCCGACTGGTTGTCAAAGGATTTCAGCAGAAAGAAGGAGTTGACTATACTGAAATCTTTGCTCCAGTTGTAAAGCTCAATACTATCAGGACTGTGTTAAGTATTGTGGCTAGTGAAGAGCTCTACCTAGAGCAATTAGACGTGAAGACTGCATTTCTTCACGGAGACCTAGATGAGGAGATCTATATGCACCAGCCTGAAGGATTTTCAGATGGAAAGAAGGATATGGTGTGCAAATTGAAGAAGAGCTTGTACGGCCTGAAACAAGCTCCAAGACAGTGGTATAGGAAGTTCGAAAGCTTCATGCACAAGGAAGGTTTCCAGAAGTGCAATGCCGATCACTGTTGCTTCTTTAAGAAGTATGAGTCCAGCTATATCATCTTGCTACTTTATGTCGATGACATGTTAGTAGCAGGATCAGATATGAAAGACATCAGAAAATTAAAGATGCAGTTGTCAAAAGAATTTGACATGAAGGACTTAGGCCCAGCAAAGAAGATTCTTGGAATGCAAATCACGAGAGATAAGCAAAAAGGAGTTTTGCAGTTATCTCAGGCGGAGTACATCAACCGTGTTTTGCAAAGATTTAACATGGACAAGGCCAAACCAGTCAGTACACCTTTGGCCAGTCATTTTCGTCTATCCAAGGACCAGTCTCCTCAAACAAAAGAAGAAGAAGAGTTCATGGCTAAGATTCCTTATGCTTCAGCCATTGGAAGTTTGATGTACGCGATGGTCTGTACGAGGCCAGACATTGGCCATGCAGTGGGAGTTGTGAGCAGGTTTATGTCAAAACCAGGAAAAGCTCATTGGGAAGCAGTCAAATGGATTTTGAGATATCTACGGGGCACAACAGAAAAATGTTTGTACTTTAGAAAAGGAGATCTAAAGTTACAGGGCTACGTAGATGCAGACTTTGGAGGTGAAGTTGATCACCGAAGAAGCACCACCGGTTATGTTTTCACTGTCGGAGCTACAGCTGTTAGTTGGATGTCGCGGATACAAAAGATTGTTGCTCTATCCACTACAGAGGCTGAGTATGTAGCAGTGACAGAAGCCAGTAAAGAATTAATATGGCTTCAAGGATTGTTAGCAGAGTTGGGTTTCACTCAAAAGGAGAGTGTCTTGCACAGTGACAGTCAGAGTGCAATACATCTGGCAAAGAACTCAGTGTTTCACTCCAGAACAAAGCACATTGATATACGTTATCATTTCATCAGATCTCTGCTTGAGGATGAAGTGTTGACTTTGAACAAGATTGTAGGAAGCAAGAACCCAGCAGATATGCTAACGAAGGTGGTGACCATTGACAAACTGAAGTTGTGTTCAACTTCAGTTGGCCTGCTAGAATAACAGACCGGAGAAGACTACTGCAGTAATTGAGGTGTGAGGACAGATTGAAATCAGTTCTCAAGTGGGAGATTGTTGGTCAAAAATGGCTGCGGCCAATAACCAAAGAAGAAAAAAAAGAAATTGCCCACATTTCTTGTCCAATTGCAGCAGCCCTCGTGGTGAATTTTTTAAAATATGGAGTACACATTTGTGGAAAGAATGGTGCAATTCTCCTCTATAAATAGAGGGGTTCTGATACACATCCAACACCACAACAAAATACCAAACACAAAAGAAAAACATAAGAGAAGAGAAAGAGAGAGCGAGCTAATAAAAATTTAGCTTATGTGTGTATTTGAGTTGTGAGTTGTGAGTGAATTTGAGAGTGTTTTGTAAACACGAGTGTATTTCTTTTTCCCAATAAAATATCTGCAGTAGTCCGGAGACGTAGGCATTATTGGCCGAACTCCGTTATCAATTTGGTGTGTCCAATTTTTATTTTTTATTTCACTTTTATAGATCCGACTTCATGGAAAATTCAGCGTATTTTTCCCAACACTTAATTCATATTCAAATTTAACGGAGTATAGAAATGGAAAAAAAATAAAATAAATATAATTACCGCTGTCCATCAATCGTGTGCTCAGCAGGAGCATGCCAATGCATTTGCTTCAGTGAATAAATCTTGTTATCGATAGTTAGGACCCCTGAATGATCTGGGTAACGAACCTGTATTCAACATCAATTTCTCAATAATTACATTCACCAACTTATAATTTACGACTAGAAGATAATGTTAGCCTGTCGAACTTGTCGAAGAATTAAGGTTAGGCGATGTAATTTTGACTAGTTTTTATATTTTCCAAACAAATAGTTAAATAGGTAGTATACGTTGTTGAAAACTGAAAAGTATGATATTTCATAAAAGTATCGAGCGAGAACTTTTAATTCCAACAGTTACATCGCGAACACATTGAAATTTATTGTTGTTATATTATTATTGTTATTCATAGGCTTCCAATGTAGATCAATATCTACATTGCAAATAACTAATAATCAAAATTGATATTTGGCTGCAATGGTTAGAAAATCATATTATTTTAAAAATATGCATGATTTTATACTCAAATGTCGTACTTTAAAATTATGGTTATCTAATGGTGAGACAACTTAATAGTTTGTGATGTAATAACTCATTAAGTTCATGTCATGACCCTAACTATTAGGATTTTTAATTCATCTATTTCACGGCATTAATTAGTAAATCACATGAAGAATTTTATCGTTTCTCTATACTTGTTACTGACTGTAAATTCCAGGTTACTTAATTTTTGTGAAGGGTGGAGAAACACAAACCCCAACGTTGAACTTGTTGTTGACCAAAGTGACGTTCGTAGGATCATATGATCTGATGAGGGGCTTCAAATTCTTGTTAAGCACGACGTCTGACGTCACGATGTTGATCGGCGATTGCCATTTTCCTTTTACGCACATCGAGAAATTTGGGCTGAGGCTTCCCCATTTATCTGGGCCTGTGGGCCCAGAGTACGTGAACTGAATGGACTGAAAGGCCTCTATAAAAAAGCAAAAGGCAGCATATATTGATCTACTTGAGTATATGCTTTAATACAGTTTTATCCAGACATATTAATACTGTTCATATCTAAACATCTCCCATAGTCCCAACTCCCAATGTCCCATATTAAATTCCTAGTGGTTACTGACATTTCCCTCCAAATACAAAATTTTCTTTTATTGCCAAATAATGATTTTTTATGATTGTATTTTAAAACATAAGATTAGAGATTTTAAAATGATGCATAATTCAAACCACGGAATAAATAGTTTTTTCTTTAATCTCATATTTGATCTTGAGGTCTATCAGAGCTATAAATGAGCCAGCTCAAACTCTTGATACTCAATCTCGACTAGTTAACAAAAGAAATCAAAAAACGAGCTCGAGCTCAGCTCAGAGCAAAATTCAAGCTTTAATGAGCGTTAAGAGTTATGAAATTACGTAGAAGACTCTATTTTCGAGCTTAATGAGTTTTAACGAACCGAGCCAAGACGAGCTTACAAACTTGTTTTGTATAGCAATTGTATTGGCAATGACATTAGCAATTGTTATATCACTGACAAGAAAAGACCGGTTTCTTAAACTAGCCAAAGATAAATGATTTTTCTTTCAGAAACAACGTATGATTTTTCTCTTACCTTAAGTTTAGAGCAGCATGAGAAAACATTTAGAACTACTCAAGAGAGTAAACCACACCTTATGTATAAATGTAAACTGAACAGAAAATGTTATAAACCATATCATTTCACTTGAACGATATTGAAAAAATGGTGCCAAAATAATGTGCCTCATACGCGAAAATGACATCATAACAAAACAAAAATAAAAGAAGAAGAAATTATTGCAGATACCTGATGACATATAATGATATAAAACATAGTACTACGTAGGGAAAGAGATAAATTTATTCTTACGCTGTGATGAGGGAGGAATAAGATAGAGAAGCGCAGTTGCAAAGATGAAGAAAGCTAATCTTAGGGCAGCCATTTGAACGCAATAAAAACACTGGCATATAATTCTGTATTTAGTGTGTAGCATAAATCTATATAAGTGAAATTTGAAGTATACTTTGTTGTTCTCAGTGGATTTTTGTAACCACAGACTCACAGAGCAACTAGATTTCTATATATATATATGGCTACTATTAGACAGTGGGTTAGACAACCATACTTTTTTCAACAGATTTATTTACTTTTAAACTGAAATATCACTCTAAAAGACAACCCAAACGAAAGTATGGCATCCATGATATAAGTTAAGTATTTCGTAAAAAAAAAAAGGTATTAAGGGTCATCCCACCTAACGTTAGACAGCCTCATATAAGAATTTGTAATATTATATACATATATAAATATTTGGAATTTATCTCTTTGTGCTATAACACCATCAACAATTTCTTGTTCCACTACTTATGGAAGTCCTTTTTTCTCATTTTCCTGTATGAGCAACTCAATTATGGGACAGTTTTAACATTATATGTATGTGTCTTAACACACATGGCTAAAGCCACATCTTTTTTATTTTTTTTCAGTTTCAATTTTTCTTTTACATAAACTATTGCAGTTAGAGAAATAATCTATATTACTGGTAACTATATTTGTTTTTGCCTCAGCTAGGCTTGACTCGAGGTCAACTGCACTGCTATAATCCTAGTAATAATTCCAAATTTCAAAGTAAGAAAACTAGAAGTAGCTGTAATAAGCCTATATATATATGTGGGTGGGGATATGCATGGATGCAAGAAAATTGGAAGTAGATGTAATAAGCCTATATATATGTGGGTGGGATATGCATGCAAGTATTTTAGCCTATGTATTAGTAGACAAACAAAGATGAGTTTGTAGTGCAACAAAGTGATATCCAACTACAGATAAAGGACAAATTATTTAATTAACAAAAAAATGCTTATCAGCAGATTCAAGACAAATTTTTCCAGCAAATTAACATTCAGGATGCCTTGAGCACCGGCTCACAAGTTTTTGAACTTTAGTTAGAAACCAAACAATCATCAATATATTTTGATTCTCATGATCAGTATGGTGTTAATGAAGTTTTTTTTTTTTGTGCTAATCTTGTAGGTGACTTAGATCAATTCATGCCACTATTTTGTGTTTTTTTTTTCTAGAATTGGGAAACTAGGAGACAAGACAGTAACTCAATTCTCAACCTAACATTAAATTCTAACAATTTCTGAGGATATAACTGTTTTTGTGAAAGGATAATTACAGAAAAGATTATTAGTTCTTCGGAAAATTGGAATATATCTTGTAAGGAATTATGTTGGAACCACTTTATTAGATTTTTTTATTTGTATTTTTGCTAAAATCATGTTTCTATTTTGAAGTAAGAGACATCTTTAAATAATGCTCCATATTAGGCAAGAAATTCCCACGGTGAATAACAATACATTTGAACGTAACTCTTGCACAAATTCTTGTGAAGCAATTTAACAATAAGGCGGGTCAATCGTCATATGTTTTTTTAAATGCATGTTTATACTATAAAATGTCATACTTTATTTATTTTGTAAGATATGTCATATTTACATGTAATAATTAAACTAAATGTGTAATGCAGTAGCCATTAAGTAGCTTGTAGATATTCTTATTAATTCAATTAAGGAGCTATCATAATTACGGAATGGTATGGTCACAACAAAAAAAATACTCCAGCACCCAAGAAAAAAGTCACATAACTTGGTTGACATTGGATGTCATGATAACAAGTCAAGTCTCATTCACAAATTAACACCACTAACACATA